AGTAGTCCGTTTACGTTAACAACTACCACGCTATACTTTGTTAGTAATACTACCAAACGAAGAAGTAAATAATAATAAGTAAGTAGTATAGTAGTTAGTATATATATATATATATATATATATATATATATATTGTTATGAGTTGTCTTTTCCTCACCATAGTAAACCCATAGTTATATAGGATTTGTAGAACATGTAGCATTGATGTTGCTAATTTCTTCTTCTGTATTATTCAGGAGACAAGCTGTTTGAGACACTAATTATATGTTGCCCAATCTATCATTCAATTCACCACCTGTCACTGACTAATACAAGTTTCAGGGAATTCCAGATGTTAACAGTAACGATGGACAAGGCTTCTTATATAGTGATGAACTTTAAATCATATTTATTTTTAGTACTGTATCGTGGAATTAACTGTGTTCTGTCTTGTGGATTTCTAATGACTATAAGACAAAATGAATGGCGTGACAAGTATTTTCATTAGTGTACACTAATCTGCATGTTAACTAAGACACAGAAACTACTTTTGTTTTAGGCTTGTGGTATTTAGGAACACCATCTGTTTTCTACTTTCTTATCTTAATGTAAAAATGTTCTGTTTGTTTTGATTCTATGCATTTTTTGAATGACACGTGATCCAGAAGACTCTTAATTTGACTTCAATATAGCTGTCTTTGCTCCCTTGTTATTGTTATGACAGCGGAAGTCACGTGATGCTGCTGGCGCATTTGTCGCTGGTAGCATGCATGAAATTTCTCGAATGATCATGAATTTTGTCGAAGCCTCTTCTTTAGTATATGTGCCTGGCAGTGAAAGCTTGTGGGAATGAATGAAGAGAGTTCCGGGTAATTTACGATTTTGTTTCGAGCTAGTGTGTGTTTTATTATCAAGATTGTGAAGCGGTGTGATTTATAACGTGTATTATAAAAGTAGTTAAGTTTAATCAAGAAATGACTTGTATCGCTGAAGTTCCTCGGAAAGAACTTCTACCGGAAATTAACAAACAAGCAGATATGCAACATTATTCTATTGAGATAATGTCTAATCTGTCGATTTGGAGTATTACTATATATTTCTGCACATTGTGCAAGAATGTAGACAACAGCAATGTCCTTCAATGGCAGGTGAGATTATATCTCATGTTATTGCCTCGCCTGTGTTAAATGAGAATGAATGGTCACATAGGTAGTACTAATTACTGTGGCTAAATCCGATGTTTCCCATTATGTAAGAAACCTTAGGTTTAAACAGTCTACATGTGATCTAAAATGAGTTGGTTGATGGAAAGACATCTTGAGGGAAGAAAATTAATTATTTGATTCACGAGTTGTGAATGTTGACTGCCCAGTGTACCAGGCAAGTACAAACATTGTGTTTTTATCTTTGACTTAATAAAGATTATTCTCATTTTGTGTTACACATCATGTCCAATCTCTTAATATTTTTAGTTTAAACTCAGTAAGTGTAGTTAAATTCAGCATTATATACCTTGTGGTTTATTATAAAGTGGACCTACTTAACACTCTTTCCAGAAATCAGTAAATCTGACACCAATTTTACTGTAGGTTATGAAATGTGTAGTAACATACCTGGATACTCTGACACCATGTATCCAGGTATGTTACTACACATTTCATAACCTACTGTAAATCTGACACCATGTATCCAGGTATGTTACTACACATTTCATAGCGTACTGTAAATCTGACACCATGTATCCAGGTATGTTACTACACATTTCATAACCTACAGTAAATCTGACACCATGTATCCAGGTATGTTACTACACATTTCATAGCGTACTGTTACTCTAACGACAATCATGATACTACACATTTCATACTCTGACACCAAGTATGATAAATGTTTCATAGCCTACTGTTACTACTCAGAAGAATAAAATTTGTAAAACAATTTAGAATTAACAAAGATACAACTATAAATTAGCTGTGGAATCAAGCATGTTTTTATCACATATTTTCTGAGATGTGTTGTTGAGTATTATCATGGGTTAGAATAACTTATTAATTACATATTAATTAGAAATTGAAAAGGTCTATCAAAATTATGAAAGGTTATTAATCTTAATTGTTTTTAATACAAATTGGAGCTTATTACTAGACATACCTATTAATGTGTATTAATACTTTGTACACTGATATCTTACAAAATTATAATTCCCACACTTTTTAGAACAAACAAATACGTAACACTCAGAAGGGTAGGTCACAGTATAATACATAAGCTAATGTTTAACTTCCATAAAGAAGATTTGTGTGCAGAAATGTTGATCAACAGACTCTACTAGTTACTATGTCTTTAAAGTATGTGCACAGGTGGGGATCAAAGTGTGTATGCTTTGACCTTTTATTAGGCCAATCAACATGGTATTATGTATTTCACATCAGAGCTATCAAATACTCATTTTGCCCTACACTGCTTATTTAGTGAAAGTTTGTAGAAGAGGGGAATAAGTACCAGATGTGAATTTTGAAGATTCTATAGGTTATGTAAATGCAAACTGTATGATGTAAAAATGTATTTTTATTTTTCACAGGAGTATCACCTTGCATTCTAACGTGTCAGGGTTTGAGTCAGACTGACATCATCAATTCATAGACATATATTGAGTACACATAATTTTGTAATACATCTGGATTGTAAGTTTCACTAAAAGATTGCCACATTTCCTGTAGATACACAAGAAAAATTCTGAATTATGGTCCACATTCCTTCTCCAATATAAGATCAGTCTAATGGGCTGACCCTGTGCACATTCAGTTAACTATAGTCATTCAAATATAAAAAAAAATATTTTTACTAAAAGCATGGAAATCTAAG